TTAGGGTTTAGGGCTGAAGCCCAAAAGCTGAAAATCCAATAGCCTCAATCCTTAAGAGTAATGCAGAGGGAATCCCAGCACTATTGGTCCTTAATCCGCTTTCCAACTTTATGGGGTTCACTATAAAGTTTCGGGTTTAAGGTTCAGGGTTCCGGGCTTAGGTCTTAGAAGATAATCTCTGCGGAGTTCGGGGCTTCAGGTTTATAGGGGTCAGGGTTCTGGGTTTAAGATTTAGAGTCTAAGTTTCTTCGAAGTTTGGGGTTTCGGGTGTAGGCTTTACGGTTCAGGGCCTAGGGTTAATGGTGGAAGCCGAAAGGTTGCAACATTCGTCAAGGAGGATTTGCGCTTGAAGGCCGTTTAGGGTTTAGGGTTTAGGGTTTCCTGCCGGACCCACGCGTCCCCGCGTACAGGGCTCGCATTTGGCATGTTCCAACTTTGAGTTGTGGCCACTCCCACGCCCGTCGGTAGCGCATTTTCCAGGTTGTTGCTACGTGTTAATGCAACTTATTGGAATTTACTATGAAATGCGCTGTCAGGACGACGCGAGTGTTTTGGGATCTTGAATAACTGCGATATGAACGCCCGATGTGCGCACATTGCCACTTTGCGTGACAGTGAACGTGTTTCCGCGGCCAGTGCAAAATGACCTTGCAATAAACGTGCCAAAAACGGCACGTTTCGTAAATGTGCGATCTCTTTGAGCTTCGATGATGCATCATGGTCGTGTTGTTTTGGTATTGACGAGGCTTTTCGCGACATTGACCGGCATTCCTGTGCCTTGGGGCACACCCTAAACCCTAAACCCGCGCTGAACGTTGATTTTGTCACTTGGCTGCTATAGCAGGAAATTTCCCGTACGCAACGTGCGTCATCCATATGCGCGTCGCACTCCGCCCTATATGTCCCGCCCGAAACCCTAAACCCTCCATGCTGCAAGACGCTTTGATGCCATTGGTCATTCGGGCCTCCAGTGGCACCGAAGCCGCCAGGAAGAGGCTGGGGTTCGGGTGTTTCGGCTTTAGGGTGTCGAACTTGGATTCCGGCTGCTCGGGTCTTAAAGTCTTGGGTTCAGGCTGACGGGGATTTCAGGTACTACTGGGCCGAAATCAGTTGAGCAATGACTTTTCTTTTTTTATGGGGGGGTTCTCACCCTTGTAGAGCCTACGCTGGGCTACGTGCATCGATGTGCTATACCGCCGCAGACTGTGGAAGGCTGCCTACGCAGACATATCTGAAGCTCTGATGGCCTACGCAAGCCTACGCACTACCCAGGCTTACGCGGATTTGTCTTCTAGACGGTCGAAGCCTTGATGATCCTTGAACAAACTCACTATAATATTATGCCAGAAACACAGCAACATGGCTATTTACCTCCTGTCCTTAGAAGAAGGTGCAGATCAGGGTTGGATAACCCCCGTTCCTGACTTCTGAAACGTAGAACCCTAAAGCTAAATCCAAATCCCTGGAAGGTAGCGGAAACCAAGAGGGCCTTGGCAAAGAAGGCCTACCAGGACGGCCACCCCCGCGAATCGGCATGCGCGGCGCGCGCTGCGGCACGGCGAAGAACTTCGGCGAGGCATGGCGATCAGCGGCCAAGCTAAGGGGTTTCTGATTTTGGGTGCTCACATGTGATCACTCACTTTAGTAAGGGCTTCAGGGTAGGACTTGAGGGCTTGCAGTTTATAGGCTTTCAATTGCTTTAGTTGTCGTGGGTTCTGGGTGCTGAATTTTCGGGTCATGCTCTAGGTGTCGTGCATAGCAGGGTTTAGGGTTCAGGGTTCAGGGCTCAAGGGTTTAGCTTAGGCACAGCTCACGCCTCAAACCCAAGCGGGTGCCCCGAAGTCTGACAGCTGCTCAGGTGGCAGCTTGGGTCTCTCAGCTTGGACAAATCAAGATCTCTGCCAATGAACTTCACACACTCTCTGCGAGAGGAGATTTAGCACATCTATGTCGTACAGATCTTTGTGCGACGTGTAAACATATTTACATGTATTTGTACAAACAGGTATGTGAACAAATAAACAAATGTCATCAATAAACGAATGCCTATCATATACATGTGTATATATGTATTTGAACACCTGCACACACGCATGTATGGCAGGTAGGTAGGCAGGCAGGCAGGCAGGCAGGCAGGTAGGTAGGTAGGTAGGCAGATGTATTTATGCAGGTGAGCCTGCAGGTAAGCAGGCATGTAGGTTTGGATGTAGGTCCTAGTGTATGTATTGACTTACATATCTAGGTAGGTAGGCAGGCAGGCATGTGGGTGTGTGTGTGTGTGCAGAAAGGTTTAGCTGTATATGTATCTGCATGTTACAGAAGTACATAACTATATCGGCGTCTCTGGGATTGTTGGCAAAAGTATATTGTATCGAAGACCTGAATGGAAAATTCATGAGGGTGCCAGCTTACGAGGAAAGAATGTAGATGCACGAGTGCACGTGTATGAACCGTACAGTGTACATAAACACATGGTTAAATAACTAGTTGCCTGTACATATATATATATATATATCATGAAAAATGAAATAGGTGTGAAGAGTGAGAAATGATTTTTTCTGACCATGGAATTATGCGTATCTCGCGTGTTTTTGCACAGGAGATGTTCTAGGTTTCAGTAACCTCCGTCTGGTCCAAGCCCTGAGCCCTAAACCCTAAACCGTCTGATCTTGTTGGTTTGTCAACCAGGTCACACGCATGCGCACACGCAGAGAAATGCAGACACACACACACACACATGCATGCACTCACAAATGAGTTGGAGTATGCACATACGCAGGTAAACAGACAGGCAGGTAGATATATGCATAATGAAATCATCACGTAAGCAAGCAACTAGATAAACAGACAGACAGGCACACTGACACACGAACGGACAGACAACAGAAGAACGACAGAGAGGTATCAAATTAGATAAGAAGCTCATATATGCACATATACATATATATATATATGGTATCCATGGAGGGCGGAAGCATATATATATATATATAGACATGTACATGTACATATACATATACATATACATATATATATATATATACATATATATATATAGAGAGAGAGAGAGAGAGCTCAGCTATCGTTTTCAGGCGAAGGGTGCTGCGCCCTCGGCCTACCAGAGCTGATATCTACGCGGATGCATGGGTCGTCTTTTCCGCAGCACAGCGCCAAAGTCCGACTTCTTCCAGAGCTCAAAGACCATAAGCTCGCACGATGAGGTAGGGTTTAGGGTTTAGGGTTTAGGGTTTAGGGTATGAGGAGCAATCTGGCCCCAGAACTCGACCAGAGGTCCTAAACCCTAAACCCTACGCCCGAAGCCGAGCGCCCCAACTCAAGCCAACACACCTAGCGCCAAACTCTACTTAAAGGATCGTGGGACTTAGTAAGTAGGGTTATAATCAGGGTAACTATACTTATAACTCCAATTAAGGGACTTATAGCCTTACTTACTAAGTCCCATGATCCTCCAAGTACGCTTCACCAGCTCGCACTCCGAAACCGTCCTAGGCTCCATCCGCCCCTTTCCATGGAAGCACTTCTTCCAGGGCTTTCAACAAGCCTCACGCAGATCGGGTCTGGCGTTGGCTTCTTCGGGGCTTTCTGTTGGGCCCAAGGAAGCGAAATCTTGGCGTGTGGTATGATTCATGCAACGAAAGCGGTTCAAGGCTACTTCCTCAGCTCATACTGCTTAGCAAACCGGGTTTTGGGTGGTAACTTTCGCATGAGCACCTGCCGGGATTAGGAGTTCAAGGACTTCGGTCTCAGACCTGCGCGAGCTTTTTCAACTAGGGTTTAGGGTTTAGGGTTTAGGGTTTAGGTCACTGTCAGCCACAAGGCCGCTACATAATACCTGTTCATATTTATACCTCATTATACACCCCATAAAAGACTGTTTAAAAAAAGGGTTTAGGGTTTAGGGTTTAGGGTTTAGGGTTTAGGGTTAGAGTTTTACCTTCAAAGTCCCTATTGTACCACAGAACCCCCCCCCCTGTATACGTTATGAAGCCCTATCGTACATCATAAACCTTTCCAAGCCCTTATTAAAAGCAAAAACCAAAAGGCTTTGGGCTTGGGCTTCGACGCTTCGGGGTAAGTCCGGGGCTTTGAGCTTCCAGCTTGGCACCTTCGTCTAACTAAAGTCTGTGGGTAGCTCTCTAAATTAGGGTCCCTTTTTAGGTCCCAAATATAGTGCGGCACCCTTATAAAAAGGACCCAGACAGGGACCCTAATTTAGAGAACTACTCATGTACGGATTAGGGCGCGGGGTTTCCGGGGTTCAGAGATTACGGTGTATTAGGGTATATAGGGTTTAAGGATTGAGACTTGCAATCGGGATCCCAGTAGTACTTGGAGGTTCATGGGTAGTTATATGTAGGGTTATAAGTCCCCTAATATGGGTTATAACTATAGTTACCCTACTTATAACCTCACTTATAACTAATCATGAACCTCCAAGTAGTGCCCTTAAACAGGGGGAGTTGAGTAACCTGGGCATTACATGTGTAAGCCGCTGATGAAAGAACACACCTCTCTGTAAAGGCCGATACTAAGATCCCTACAAAGCAAAGCCCTAAACCCTAAAGCCTAAACCCTAAACTGCAAGGGGTTCGCAGAAGTAACCATTAAGCACCAAACCCTAACATCAAATCCCACACCCTAAACTCTACGCCCCGAACCCTAAACTCTCAGCCCCACGACATGAAACCCTATACCAACCCCGGGCCCTGAAGTGGTAATTTAGGGTCTACGGTTTAGGGTTACTTAGCTCTTCCCCATCACCTCGAAACCTTCATGAAGCCCTAAACCCTAAACCCCTGAAAACCGAAACCCCTAAGCCCTAAACCGACGTTGACGGGTGGAGTGAGAGTCACCTGTAGATGTCTTAGGGGCCGAGTACCCCAGCCCAAAACAGGGTTAGCCGTTTCAACTATGGGAGGTTTTTATAAACCCGAAAAGACTAGAAGGTACCTACTCAGCCAAAGATGTTGATGGCCTGGTCCATAATTCCAGGACGCCTCTTGCCGGAAGATACCGGCTCTTCGGAGCTCCTTCTGTAGAGCTTTGGGGGTTTTTAGGGTTTAGGGTTTAGGGTTTAGGGTTTAGGGTTTAGGTTTTAGGGTTTAGGGTTTAGGGTTTAGGGCCTTTCGTATCTTGTCACCATCGCTGTGCGACTTCGCGATCGCGATCTTGAGGTCGCGTGGAGCCGACTGCGACATCGAGGCTCTCGCGAGGATCCCCACCGGCAAAGAGTCTCCGGACAGGCAGAATGAAGCAAAGTCCTGAGGGTTTAGGCTTTAGGATAAATTTGGGTTTAGGGTTTAGGGTTTAGGATCAATTTAGGGTTTACTCAATCCTCAAAGCCCGAAACCAACTCTGTTTCAGTCTCCCTCCCTCCCTCCCGTTGCGGTGAGAGGAGCTCGCGGCCGTGTCTGCCACCTTTGGCTCGCCACTGGGGCGACTCCTGAAGTTGCCACTTAGGGGTTGAGGGTTTAGGGTTTAGGGTTTAGGGTTTAGGGTTTAGGGAGGGGTTTGGATACCTAAAGTAGTGTTCCCTTACGGGCTCCTTCTAGGGTAAAGGGGCCTTCGCAGTTTTGATACGGGTTGAAATAGTTTCAGGGGGAATATATGGGGATACCTCGACGAAATATTCAGACCTCTTTTTGTTCCATATTGCAATTGCACGAACTTTCTGAAATCAAGGAGAACGTCGAAAGGCTTTCGAGATAAGGATTTGATTTAGGTGTAGGGTTTAGGGCCGTGGGTTTCGGGTGTAAGGTTGAGGGCCCAGCCGTGTCAGGACACAATGGGCTTACACACCTGCATGGGCTTCGCGGGACTGCAGCAGCTCTCTCGATGCACGGCTGTACACGGGCGCAAAGCCCACAAAAACCTCGAACCAGACATCCGAAGCCCTAAATCCTCAGCAGCACAGCAAAATCTACAAAGCTCCATACTCCAGGTTCCATTTATGGAAAGCCCTGTAGAACCCAAATACGCTCCTCGCAAAACCAAAAAATCGAAACGACAAAAGCCACATAGCCCAAACCCTTTGTTAAACCAAAGCCGCAAACCCTTGCAAATATTAATTACTAGCAACCCCAAACCATATCACATACCAGGTATAAACCCCTTATGAAACCCAATCTTCAAACCCTGCGACCCTGTACAACCCCACCGCCGCATAAACCCGGGCACGACCCTGATCTAGTAGTTTGAATAATGTTAAAGTTTTGGGTATATTGTCGTATTACTAGAACAGGGACTATGAGGAGACACTGCTTCCAACTGTTCAGACCTCTGTATTCTCACGCAGACCCTTTGTAAAAACCTCAGGCCAAGCTTCGTCAATGCCGCGCCGCCCGGTGCTTGCGACGTCGGGGCGTCCAGCAGTCGCTTGGCCGCCGGGCTCAGCGGCCCCTCGACATTGTGAGTTCATCGAATATTTTCTGAGGTTTAATTCGGGGTTTAGGGCTTAGGGCGCAGTGGTTGGGGTTGCTTGGTTTAGGGTTTAGGGTTTAGGGTTTAGGGTTTAGGGTTTAGGGTTTAGGGGTTAGGGCATGAGGGT